GCAACCTACCCCGCCCTGCGGCCTCCGCCCGCGAGCTGGAAGGCGAGGCGAGGAGCGAGTGACAACCGCATCCGGCCAATCGGAAGGCCTGAGGGTTGAGGGGGTGTCGCGCGGCCACGTTTTTTGGGGTTGGTTGCACCGTGCGATCCCCCAAGAGAGGTCTGGAGGGCGACGTGCTGCTGCGTTTTAGCATTGCGGAGAGCCGGCTGCGGGGTAGGGGCGGGGGCTGCGGTCCACGAGACACATGGTTTGGGCATCTGCTTGAGGGACGTTCCCTGGGGAGCCGCTCCCGGGATCCATCCATCCCCCACTCGCTATATTTGGCGGAGAGGGGGCACAATAGGGATGTTTATCATCACTGCTCTCACCCCGCCCTTAAATTTGCCTATTGTATTGTTTTCATCCCTTCAGTGAGAGACACAGATCCCTTCCAGGATACTTGGTCGAGTCACAAACCTATGCTTACAGTCAGCCGCAAATGGTAAGGGGAGGGTGTGATCTGCCCCATCGCTCCTTCCCCCAGTTTAAGTACACACCTTAAGAGTCTTAGGTTTAGGCTCAGAAATTAGACAGTATTTCACATTAAAGGACAATAACGTTAGAGTCCTTTGATTACTGTGAATGAGTATTGATGTCAGGAAGTTGATACAAACGGAAGAATACGCACGTAAACATCAACCAAACGGCTCTAGCTTGAAGAGAGCAAATGTGGGTTACCGAGTTATGGGGAGTAGTAATAATGACTGTCCGGGTTCAAATCGCATACCTGCTGTGTTTGCAATGGATTTTGCTTATCCAGCAACCAGTGGTTCTCAAGGTGTGGTCCTTGGACCAACAGCATCAACAACCCTGGGAACCTGAGAGAAAAGCAAATTTAACAGTCTATCCGAGGAATTCTAACAGGTTAACTTCCAAAGAGCTTTGACCTAGACTGTGGTGAAAGGCCTTTCGAAGTCCGTGAGTCACAGTGACGATCTCTGAAGGATTTTATAGTTTACCAATCTTTCTCACACCCATTGGGCCATTGTACCCTCACTTCAGTCCCAGTAGTCTATGAGTTTCCTGACTCTGTCTTCTTCCCATTCCAACCACTCATTTTAATGTGTATCCTAGAAGAGACTAAGTTGTTAAGAATTTACTACATGCAGGCAGCCACTTGCTAAACTAAGCAGCTCCTTTTTTAGAAGACAGAAATTTAGGATGGGCTGGGAATGCAGAACCACCCCCCACCACATCCACTACACAGAATCAGGCACAATTCGGAAACAGAAAGCTATAATCTTTAGCATTTTCAATGATGAGGAATGGCAGAATGCCAGTGTAGATCGTGGGCAGGACTAGACAGAAATGGTGGGAGCAGATTTCTATGGTGCAAGGTGTAAGGCAGAGGAACATATTACCCCCTTCCAGAGTTGGCCCAGAGAAGTGCAGAGGCCCCACAGATCCTGGACAGGTCTTCTGTGACAAGTGGTGATGAATGAATGATGAGCACACATTGACAGTGTTCATAACCTGACTCTAAATTGAAGAGAAGTGGAGGGATTCTTTGTGAATTTCTAAAGAAACAGAGAGCATTATAATTTTGAATTATGCCTCATTTCGTCTCCTTCTCTTCCTCCTTCTTTTTTTCCCCCTTGCAGTACCAGTGATTGAATCCAGGGTTGCTCTACCATTGAGCTATACATCCTCAACCCTTTTGTTTTGTTTTCTTGAGATAAGATCTCATTAAATTGCTCACTGTGACTCAAGCTTTCCTTAAATTTTCAATCCTTCTGCTTCAGCCTCCAGAATAGCTGGGATTGCAGGCATGGTCTGCTTTGGCGGGCAGGTATACCTCATTTCTATAATAGATTGAATTTGTTCTTAAGTTCAATTTTTATGTTAACATATACTTAGAACATGATGCCCAAATTTCTTGTTTGTGGCCATATCTAACAAGGTGTGATGCAGATCATCAAAAGTCTGGTGTGTTTTGGGAGGGGGGGTCTGAGGATTGAACCCAGAGTCTCATGCTGCTAAGCAAAGTGCTCTGCCAATAAGCAACACCCCAACAGTAAAGTCTTTTTAAAAAAACTACATTTATTTTATTTGTTTATTTTTACATGGTGTTGGGGATTGAACACATGCTAGGCAAGCACTCTACCACTGAGCCATAACCCCGCCCTAAGACCCAGCATAAATTCTTTATATCCTAATTCTCCAGTAGTGATAATCATAATATCTACCTTTTAGAGTATTGGATAGTATATGTAAAACACTTAGACATTGCCTGGCACAGAGTAAGACCGTAGCTATCATAACAGATGTCCAGTTTCTAAAGGGTCGCCCATTTCATTCCAATGATTCTCTCCTGGGAGTTCAAATATGTCCCACTCATTTAAAAAAAATATGCTATTGCCCAAGAAGTTTGGGTGGGAAGACTGTGCAGAGAGCTAAGAGACCTGCAACCACCAGTTCAAAGTAAATGGCAAATTTTCACTTGCCATAGTAAACTATTGAGTATTTAAGATAAATAGAACTTGAAAATACTTTGACTGAACTTTTGTTTGAAGGACTGGGTCATTCTATTGTTCTATTTATTTAGGAAAATATAAACAAGCACAAACTATGTTTTGATATTCAAGATTAAGATAAACATTTGCAGATTTACAGTGTAAGTGGTTATATTTGGTTTTTTAAAGTAGTATTTCCATTCCATTTTGGCACATCTTGTTAATTGTAAGTAAATAGCATGGTGTAATGGGAAGAGTACTAGTCAGAAAACTCATATAAGAATTTTGGTTCTTGGGGTGGGGTTGTGGCTCAGTGGTAGAGTGCTTGCTTGGGTTTGATCCTCAGCACCACATAAATATAAAATAAAGATATTGTGTCCACCTAAAACTAAAAAATAAATTTTAAAAAAAGAGAGAGTTCTGGCTCTCAAAAAAAAATTCTATTTTTCTTACTTTTGGTCTGCTTAACCTCTTTTTTTTTGTTTGTTTGTTTTTATAGTTGTAGATGGACAGCATGGCTTTATTTTATTTATTTATTTTTCATGTGATGCTGAGGATCGAACCCAGTGCCTCACACATGCTAGGGAAGCGCTCTGCCTCTGAGCTACAGCCCCAGCCCCCTGCTTAACTTCTTTGACCTTTGTTGTTCTTCTCATCTACAAATAGGGCTAACGACATCTGTCCCCATATGGTTGCTGTGAAGATTAACTTGACAATGCATGTGAAAGCGCTTGACACATGATATATGCTCAGTAAACCTGAACAAAACAAACATAACTTGTTGAAGCCCTTTTCTCTGATATATGAAAAAGGCAGAATTAATCTACTAAACTCAAAGCTTTTTGTGAACCGAAATCTTGGTTAAAATAATGTGTTGGACATGGTGGTACTCTTGTAATCCCAACAACTTGGGAGCTAAGCCTGGGAGCATCATAAGTTCAAGGCCAGCCTGGGCAATTTAGCAAACTGTGACTCAAAATAAAAAATGAAAAGGGCTAGGGTGTATCTCAGTAGCAGAGCCCCCTTGGGTTCAATCCCCAGTACCAGTGGTGGGCTGGGGGTGGGGATGAGAACACTGCTGGTAGTATCAGATT